CAAGCTGCCCAGCCAGGGTGGGGGTCATGCTACTGAGGAAGCGGGGTGGGGGATGTGGGTGCAGCAGTGCTGGAAGCAGGGGCTCTGCCATTCTGCTGCTTGCCCAGCCGGGGCAGGCAGGATGCGGGCGCAACTCGCTCTGGGCTGAAGGGAGCAAGCAGCAGCAGGGCATAGCCCCTGTTCCCAACACTGCCATGCCCACATCCTGTACTTCCTGGGTGGGCTAACAAGCTGTGGCAGGGCAGAGCCCATGCTCCCACGCTTTATTTTAAAGCTCCGCACTCACCGGCTGCAGGAGTGGTGATTGGGCCTGTGGGTGCTCATGGCAGAGCCCTCCTGTGAAGCACGGGGCAGTAAGGGGCAGCAGGGATCACCCTTCCACCCCACCTGGCACCCACACAGCAGCTGCCCCATGGCTCAGTGTGGCTTGGCAGGGCGCTACGTGCTGTCAAGGAGCTGGGGCAGCTTCATGCGTCACCCAGAGCCTGGCACCACTCAGCCAAGTGGGGTGGAGCAATCCCTGCTGCCCCGCACCACAAGGCCTCAGAGGCCCCAACAGCCACTGCTGCAACCAGTGAGTGCAGGGCTGTTTTTTTTTTAATTATTATTTTTTAGGTACTGGGACAAGGCTGGGTTTGGGCAGGGCAGCCATGGGGGCTTCTCTTGCTGCTCCCCCCACCTGGGGAGAGGCAGGCACAGCTAGAGGAGCTGCGAGAGAACCTACGGCCCCCCAGCTGTGCCTGCCTCTCCCTGGCCAATCTAAATTAGCTTCGAATCTTCTGATGCTGATTTGGCCGAATTGATTCAGGACAGTGATCCGAATCTCCAAATCCAATCGCTGTCCTCTGAATCAGCCGAATCAAATCGAATACTTCCCTTTTCGCACAGGCCTAATACATACATGCTGTATACACTTCCACAGGCAGCTCAGTGTGTGTCCATTTCCTTCTGGAGCTGTTCTATGTTGTACTTATGAGAAGATAAATCAGTTCTGCTTTGCTTTTGAAAGACTTTTGCCCCAAATCCCACTGCTTCATGCATTTACCCAGTTCTATACAACACACACCTTACAGGAAGGGAAACATGAACAGGGATTTACTCTTATCCCACTGTAAATAAAAGCTAACCCACAGTAACTTATCCTTAATGGATACCAGCAGTTATGACAGAACTAGTGATGTAATGTAAATCCCTACCCCCCATATATCCAATGGTACCTTGTTTGTGCACCCCAAACCCCAGGCACAAGAGTCCCCTCAAGTCCAGACACGCACTGGACTGTGTTCATAGAGAATGGCAGAGTTCCTTGAATCTTTACTTTACTTTCTCACAGAAGGACTTCAAAGCTTTTGGTGTTTTACTGTCAAACTCACATTAGGATCCACCTCAAATAACAACTATTTAACCAAACCAACTTCCTTTTATGAGAAGGACCCCAATATCCAAACAGCAGCTGTTTCATTCCCAGGCAGCTGTGAATAAAAATTCCACTGCAGCTATTCTGGACAATAAGGAAGGAACCAGGATGCTGTAAAATAACCTGGAGAAGTCATGTTTGCTATGGGAGTCTGTTGGGAAAGCTAGTCCTCAGGCCCGGCAGCGATGCTGACATCTTAAAGCCAGGAGATACAAAGGTGTTTCCTTATATTGAATCCACATGAGTGCCTGTCACCACATGCTATTTATAGCCTTTCAGACGCATGGACAGGGAGAGCACAGCAAAGCTCCTCCAGAGGAGAAAGGGAACACTCACCTGCTACCTTCTCAAAAAACTGCCCATAAGGCAGTGAAACAGTCTGTAAAGCTCAAATAGAAGAGACAAGGATGATGCACTCTTGGGAGAGGAGGAGAATGGTGGGAAGTATGAGAAAGAGCTCTCGAGCCTACAGAGGACTAAATCTCACACTTGAGTACCATTCTCTTGGAGGCAATGTCCTTATTCTTGTTTCTATAAAGGGAAATTTAGGTACTGGGAAGGAAAACAAATTGCCTCCGGACATATAGTAGAATCAGGAATAATCCAAGGTCATGGCACCAAGTCCCTTGCTCTGATCACTGAAATCACTGCAATGTTATAGGTACTCCAATAATCTCATGCATGAGAGTATTACATGAAAGGATATGCTCCACTATAAAAACTATTTCATTACAAAAAGTAGGAACAAGTAAACAAACACATATTGACCATACAGAGCTTTTGAACATTATGAGGTACTCTTCCAACACACCAGAAGTGTAATACAAACCCTCTCCCTGAAAGGAGAGTAAAGCAGCTCTGGGAAATGTGATGGAAGGACACACCTATCTAATTTTGTTCTTCTTCACCCTCTCAGACCTGGATGTCTCACACTGACTCACAGGGGTCTCCCTTGAACAGATAATGGCTGGTTAGGTTTTAAATCTTGAAGCCTTTTGGTGCAGCAAATATGTCAGGAAAAGAAAATCCAGTCCCCCAAATCCTCTATCATTCTCACTCCCACCACCAGAGACAGAATGTCAGCAAGCATACAGGCTGACAGTTCAGAGACAAAGGGATAGAAAATGAGCTCACTTACTTTAGCTTTATTGCCAAGGGAATGGTGTAGAAGAAGACATTGATCTGAAATACACACACGAAGAACAGACTGAAATGCTCAAACATTTCCGCAAAGAAGTACCAGAAAAGTCCAATATTGGGAGTCAAATCTGGAACGGAAAGGCTGAAAATTGAAAAGAAAAATCAAGGTAACTTTTTAAAGCGGTTGTTTTTTGACTTACTTGCTCCTTTCATTATTTAGTCATTGTGAGCACTTTTACACATGCTCCAACACGTTTTAATCAGAACATGTCAGAGCAGACTCAATTAAATGAGGAACTCTGTTTTCCTTCTCAAATTAAATCGAGTCTGCTGGAGTGTTCTAAATCAGAATGCTCCAGCATTCCACGTATTCAGTGTCTCATGTTTCAAAATGCTGGTGGGGTGCTTTAACTGAAGCTCGTTCGACAAGCTTGGACTAAAATGACCCTGCTGCCATTTTGAAATGTGGGATGCTGAATACGTGAGATGACGGGCGCTCCCAAGAGCTGCTCTAATTAAAATATCTGCCCCATGCTCCCCCCACGTATATAGGTGTCCTGTGTGCTACCAGATGAAGGAGGCATGTCTTAGGTGTGAAGGAAGAAACCATAAAGAGGGAAAAAAAGGAAATGGAATCACTCTTCTAAATATCTGCTTTGCCCAAAATAAAAACCATAACCAGAGGGGATAACAATTAGATTAGAATCTGCTTTTATGTAGAAGTACTTCCAGCCGTACTTTAAGCTTTTGAGGAAGCCAAGACAGCTTGCTGCAGCAGTATACAACTCTAGACCATACCTGTAATTGGTCCAGAATATCTAACAGGCTACAAGTCATTCACTGAACCCCAGTGTTACACAAGATATTTATAGGCCATTATTGTCCATATTTTCTCAAGTGGCTTTAAGCTTTTCATAAACAACTCTTGAGGATTTATTTTTATATAGCCAGATATGATTATTTGCAGTTTTATTCCTGTGTAGTATGAGTGACACCTAGTGGTCAATTTAGCTACACCAAGGCATACATTATCTGCAGCTGGGTTAGAAAAACATTTCTGCACTTTGCTAACTAAAACTTGGGAACTTGGGTTATGTGTATGCGTTGCTTTGGTTTCATTTCTGAGATTGCAATGAAGCTCTGTCTGTGCATAACCCACAGCACAGAGCTTGAACACTGCCAGAAAGAAACTTAATAAATTATACTTACATGAACCCATAAACAGATGGGATAAAATCCCAGGAACTGAGAAGGAAGAACGAGAGGCAAATTATCACCACCAGACTGCACAGATACAATGCTGCATATTGCGTGGTGTAGATCCAGAAGCCTTTGCTTTTCACTTTCACTGGTATGAACTGACGCTGGAAATGTAACAGAAATCAGGAGACACTGCATGTCAATTAGAAAGCCACACAAAAGGTTGAATGTCAAGATCTGCCTTTTATGCTGCCAAGTGAAAGCAACAAATACTGGCACCACTATGGTGGAAGGAGCTTTTTCACACAGTCCTCATATGCCTGACCAATGAAATCATCACAGACACCGTCCAATATTTTCAGGACTGTGCCCAAAGGCCAGGCAATTTTACATTCAACCACCATAAAACCAGCTGTCTATGCCTGAAATGCCTTCATCACATGTGCAGTATCAGTAGCTATCCATCCTACTAGGCAAGCAGGCTTGAAAACATGAGCCGCCTCCTACAGAAACTCCACAAAACCCAGTGCCTCTGAATTTGTGATGCTGCCTCTCCTTTTTGCACCAAGGGTTGCTCTGTCCATCCTGTTGCAGTTCCAAAAGACAATACGGACAAGTAGCTGCAACTTGGAGAGGCTCCACCCATCTGAACCGCAGCAAGCTTAAGACCAGAGAGCTTTTTGGGCATTTCACGCCAATTTACACAGAAGCCTTGGACACAGCAGATTAGAAAATGCAAGAAAGTAGCCTTTTAATCCTATGCAGCGCTTCCCAAGGAAAGCAAAGAAGTTCATCTACAAATCCTGATACACAGAATGTATTTTGGCAGCTCCAAATCCTTTTAAAAGTTCCCTTATAAATCCAAAGGCAAATTATGCATTCATATATCATCCCTTGTCACCACAACTGCAAAACACTCTGCTTATGCATTGCTCCTGGCATGAAGTTATTCAACTTGAGGGAGAGGGAAAGTTGGTCCATACTACACTGGTGTAGTTAACAGCTCCCCAAGCTGAAGGAGAGTCTCCTTTCAGATGTAACAAGTAGCATCGATTACCTGCATGTTCTATTACTGCAAAGATCTACAGCAGCAATGCAATTCCCAGGATGTTTTGGAGGAAAATGGAAGACATTTATATTTGATGGTTGGGGGAAGAAGGGTAAGCATAAAAGTGATACTTCTACATTTTCTTTTTTTGAATTGGAAATGTGCATCAGGAAACAGAAAAAACTGCCTGCAAGATCCACTGTAGAAGTCATACATGGGGAGGCATGTCAGTGGAAATGTACAGAATGGCATCAGCTATCTGGAACCTGGGGAAGGATGTAACAGGGTAGTCCCTAGAAAGGGCCTGGTAAGATTTCTCCAGAAACTAATCATAAATCTCTTTTCCTTCACCAGCAAAAAGATGCCTCAGGTTCCCTCCCCCCAAACTCCCTCCACACTTTAGAAGGAGGCTCTTGGTCTTCTGATGGGTTTGTCTATTTTGCAGCTCAGTGTGCGTCTCCTGGGCCTTTGGGCTGCACTAATAATTAAAGATATCATCTTCTTCTAAAACCCTTGCGGAATCCAATCAACACTCTGGTAGTGGAGGTGGAGTGAGGGTGGAAGTGCAAAGCAGATGCTTTCAAGGGCCGCAAGTACACTCCACCCAGCACTGGGAGACAGGGCACATGTTATCTTTGCCAATAGCAGAGCATTTATGAGCATGACTCAGATAAAAGGACCATTTAAAACTTATGCCAGCGATGCTGGGTCAGTGCAGAAGAAACTGCTGCTCCAAAATTCTCCCTCTGCTGGTCACCCATCACACACATATTTGTGTGTTTAGGCAGGCAGAACACCAAATTTGCAGACGTGTTTTGGTTTTCCTCTCTCCCCCCACATGTGGCCCCTGGAACATATTAAATACCTAGTGTCCTGGGAAAGGATGAAGCTTTTTTATCTTGAGAAACTGCCATTGAATTTTTTTTCTTCACTGTTGGGCAGCAGCAAATGTTTTCATACAATGTATAAGAGGTTAGAGACACCAGACCTGCTTTTCAAGAGTATTTACCTGTAGAAGATATAGAAGTGCTGGTGCAAACAAGGTGAGAGGATACAGTGACTGGTATGTCGCTAAGGCCAGAAATACAGCACTGAGGAAGGCACTACCTGTAGGAAACAAACATATTTCACTTAATGACTGCAACTCAGAGGGAAGGTCAGATTTGAACAATCCTTCAGATATGAAGCTATTGGTCATATACACAAGTTGTGCACAGTCCCTATGCACAGTATTCAGAGCACCAGGGTAAAAATAACTATTTCAGTCCATTTCATTCTACATTATGTTTTGCAAAGGAGAAGGGCTCTGACAACACCTAACTGCAAGAAAAAGCAATTTATGTAATTGGTTTAAATCCTTACCATCTATTTAGAGAAAGATTCATAAACCTTAAGTCTAGACAGAGAAAGAGAGAATATCAGTTGCTATTTATGTAGATGAATGCATGTACCTGGGTCATTTATGCATCAAGCAGCCATTATGTTAACACTGTGGCTAACAGAGCCTGTTTCCATTGGAATGTCCCATTCTGCACACACCACATAAGCCTCAAGTTTCAGTCCTCAGGTGAGACAGAAGTAGTAGACCTCCCCCTTTTTCTCGTTCTTTTTACAGGTACAAAAACTAAATGGACAGAGAAGAATGGCCAAGCTTTTCAATGTGACCTCTCATTTTTAATGCTTCCATTTTTGGCTGCTCAATTATTTGAGTGAACTAAGTGCCAAGCACCCACTATTCTAATAGAAATGGGAGAGAAATGAAGCTCAAGTGATTCTAGTTGGACACTGAAAAAAGAAAAGCATTCCAGATCACGTGCCCTTTTTGAACATTTAGTCTATGTAACTTGCTCAAGGTTAGTGACAGAGAAGATATCAGAGAGCAGTTTTGACTCCAATGTGCCAATCATCTGCCCATTCTAGGATAATGACCCTCATTGAAATAGATCAGCTTCTCAGCTCTACTTCCAGCCTCTGAGAGAAATAAGAGGTTGTAGGATCTCTAAAAGAAAGAGCCTTCTCACTTACACATTTGAAATCTCATAGACAGAAACCCATATGGCCTCTGTTTCACTGAGTGTTAGTGTAGGGAGGGGCGTGGGGGGGTGTGCGCGGGCAAAGTCGTCATTTCCAGAAATCAGTAACTCTTTAGCACAAAAATGCTGAGACTATAGCTGGAAGATTTTTTGGCATTTTTATGGTAATGACTAATTTATGGATACTAAGTTCAGTCATATGTGTCTGTAGCACTTTGTTGTTCGACACTAAAAGTTGATCCATGCTGGAGGCACAGACATGCTACAGCTGAGCTTCGTGCATCTCTGAATAGATGAATGAGTGAAGAGCAATTCACCCAAACAGGCCTTGGCTGTCTATTTTTGCAAGTGTAGTTTAAATGAAAACCCCCCCTGCTTCAAGCACATAAGAAAAGCATAAAGAGCATTTTGCAGATATTTCTTGGATGTGCTCTGCTGGCCCCACCCCTCAGCACCGATTGCTGGAGAGGACCTGGCATGGGAAGAGGAGGATAGCCACCACCTTGTCTAATGGCTGCCCTTCATGTGGCCCCGCTGGTGAGCCAGCATTTTATTTTTATTAAGTTTTTTTAAAGTTGATTTTGTAGACAAACCTGGTTTTTGCAGTTTCCATAAAATTACAAATTAAGTAGGCTGCTACTTATGAATCCACAACTGGCTGATTTCAAATAAGGTTCTATCATCTCACCCTTTGCTGTTATCAGAAGCAGGTGACTGTTTATTTGAAAACAAATACTTTTAACAATATATACAAGAGAAAGCAACAGAGCCCTGCATCTCACTGAAAATAAGACAGAAAATGTAAGGGTAGAGGCCGATTTGTTTCTAAACAGAAAACTACTCAAAGCTGTCCAAGGAGGCAGTCAGTACTTTGAGTAACTGAAGTGATCAGGCCAGACATCTTAGGCACACTGGGATGGGAGAGCTTGGTCTGCCTATGAAGTCCCCTTTTATTTGTGACTCCAAGAAGACCTCTGACATTGCTTTGACCCAGTCTGTAGTAGGACAAGCTGAGATCTTTATCCTAAACCTATTTATCAGCTACTAACCGCATTTACAATCTCTCAAGGTTTGAATCATTAAAGACACAAAAGGGGACAAGTTTTCCCAGTGTATTACCTTTCATTGTAGCCAAAAAGAAGAATGCAATAATGGTGTTGTTGATGGCACAAGTGGACTTTGCCACACAAGACATCACTGTGTACGGATTCAAGAGATAACTGAAAGAGAATAAAATTCAATTACATTCATGCTATTAAAAAGTGCAAATACCAAGGCAAAAGGAGATATATTAAAATAAATGGGAAATGATCTGGCATCTCCTTTCAATTCATTAAATATGTACATGTTCCTCTCAACAGAACAACTCAACTGAACTTGGGTCTTTGTATGATGCAAAAAAATTAAGTCTTCCTCATGTTGAAGAACATGGGCAATTGTGGGGGATCATGATGGGAAAAAAGGAGATGGCAGCAGGGAGAAAGCACATTTAAAATACAGTTCTATCCTGAAAACTGACTACGTAATAGTAAACATAACCCCCTTATTTTTCCTCCTTAAAAAGTAAGCCTATCTGAACTAGAATCACAGAGAGCAAACACAGAACCCCATATTACTACCTTCCAGAGTCACTTTTTAGAATATAACCACAGTGTAAATCTTTGAAGACACTGGTTCCTGTGAAAATTTGAAATTAATGATGCAATGACCTAATGTAACTGGATCCCAAAGCACTAAGGAACATTCAGATTATTGATTCAATAAGCAGGACAATGGATCAATCAACTTCCATTATAACAAAACCAGCTGCTATAATGAGAACAACAGTTAGAAAAAAATCAAAGCCCTTATTCTCCTTCAGGGTATCATATTTATCCTAGTCCTAGGCTCTCTCAATCCAAGCCTAGATTTTTCAATGCCTGAAAAATTAACAGTTGCTTCAAATACTAGAGAGATAGTACTTACATCAAGATATTAAATATCTAATGCCAATATTCCTTGGTAACATTGTGCATCAAGTGTGTAATGAAAATATGCAATAATCTGCAATTAAATAAAACCCCAACAACCCCTGCCCCCCTACTTTCTTGCCCTGGAGGAATTTACTGACTTAATATAAATCATGTATAAGAAAAGAAAAAAAAAAAAAGAATCAATAAAAATGTCTCTTTTATGAAAAGCCTTCTCTGATCAAAGGACATTAATGGAAAAGGAGATCAAAGAAACAAAATCCTTTTACTTGTTTAATATGAAACACAGGGTTTATCTGATTTATTCAGATCCAAAAGCTCAAGAGTAGATCTGTTTCTTTCGAATTTGAGTACCTGCCATTTGTTTTAATTAAAGCCTTGCTATTTCAGAATGTAAAGCATATGGAATGAATACTGCATTTGATGCCATTAAAGCTGACAAGCTAGAAATGCTCTCAGAAACTTTATGCATCAGAATGACCTCAGCGTTTTCAAACTGTTGTGGCCACAAAATACCTAGCTCAATTACTCCTGAACTTCACAAAAAAAGGTTCCTCCGGAAGGGGAACACATCTAAGACATTTTGAATGTACTGGCTCAACTCTGATGAAAGAAGGCGGCTATTGCATCCATGGAAAAAATATCTTCCTCTGTAATATTAGTAATTGTACATTATCAATCCACTTCTATTGTGATTAAGCCAATTCTCTGTACTGTGTGCAGTGTAAGTTAACAGAAATATTAGCTTTCCATTACAGAATGTGGACATACTACATTTGGTACATTTGTGTACCCAAGAGCAAATACAAAGCTAGAAAAACTCTGAAGAGGCTGAAACACCTAAACACAATAAAAACAGGACTGGGAACCTAAGTATTTTGCATCTGCTTGAAAGAAGCAATACTTACAACAGTGCTACCTTGAGGGGGATGTAGTGCATTTCTGTGGGTGTCCGGATGAGTTCGGCCACATCTGGTGCATATTTATCAAGTTCTATTAGGAGTTTCTGCTTTTTAAACTGAACAAGAGAAGAAGAATCAAAACCTCTCAGATACAGAAATACACTGTATCTTACTATTTTTTGCATGACTATAATAGCACCTAGAAGCCCCAGTCAAACTCAGAGCAAAAAAGATGGTCCTTCTCCCAAAGCGTCTGCAATCTAAGCACAAGAAAAGAGCTGGAAATTGGCAAGTACAAGGTAATAGGAAAATCAGTATGGTAAGCAATGCTTGAGCACATCACCAGCCTATCAAGTTTGTTTAGGCTCTCCGACAAAGTAGAGCTCTGAAGATGGGTCAGCAGAAGGATAATGAGGTATCTTGCAGATTTTTATAGATGTTCTTCTGAAGTGGGATGGGAGCATGGGGAAAAGCATGAGAGTGCTTGCTTTCAGATGTAATAACTGAGCAATGAATGGTAGGTAGCCACATGGGCCATTGTCTACCCCACCATGTCTCTATACAGGAATACTTTCTCCCTTACACTTAATGAAAAAATGTCTCATTTAATAAGCCTAATTTTAACTCCTTTGGTACTGATTTTCAGCAACCTAAGCCATTCTACATGAAGCCACAGAACATGGTTGAATGCCTGAGTAGGCTATTTCTGCAAACCAAAAAAAGACATTGGTGAGATATGGTGCTCAAAACACAAATGAGCAGCCAATTCTTATTCCACCTGTACTCACTAAATGCCACTTATGTAGCCATGCAAATACAAATGTACTTACATGGCTTTTACGTACTATTTCCACCTGCAAAGGTGGGTAGGACTGCCTCTGCACATGTACAATTGCCCAAAGCCTAGTGATTAGGGCATTTACTCAGGGAATTGGAAACATAGGCTCAAGAGCCCCTTGCCCCAGAAGGGATTTGAACCTGCATTTTGCACTTAACAGCAGCTTGCTTTAACTGCAAAGCCATAGTCTAGGCACTGGCCAGAAAACTCTCCAGCCCTCCACTTGAAGCTAGCCCACTAGAGATCCAAATGGAGAAGACATAAGGGGCCAGGAGGTCCACTACACTGAGCATGAGGCTCAATGAGATAGACCCTGCACTTAAAAGGTGGGGGAGCCAGGGCTCTACCCCACCCTCTGCCTTCATTGCAGAACCTGCCCCATTGCTATTTATCTGTTTTATTCTCTGAAAATTAAATGCAAGACGCAGAAAAGTTACAGGGGCAGGAGCCCAGAACCAGGGCTCCTTCCCTTCTAGGGCAGCTTCCATCTCTGTGAATTATTTAAGTTACTAAAAACAGTTTCCTTGTACCTTCTGAGAAACACAGCATTTTCAAAACCATCTAAGGAAGGTAAGGCCAAATCTGTACTTGGATGGGAGCCTGCCAAAGGACACAGATGTTTAAGAAAATGGAAGCATCCTTCCTTTAAATCCATGCTTCTGCATGACTGTGGGAAGCACACTGCAACTGTCACAGAGAGCAGAGATTATCTATCTAAAGTGCTATTATGTCCTTTTCAGTCTGTGAATTAACCTTGCCATTAATGGACACAAAACCTGTTTGCAGCCAACCAGGCCAGTAACTGGTTAACAAATTGGTTAAGTTGTTATAGGAACAGGGGCTCAGATCAAGAGCCCAACCAAATTCACACTTTGGTAATTAAATCCTGTGCACCTAAAATTCCTACTGCAGCTGAAAGCAAGAGTTCTCAATTCTTGTCTTGAGTTGCTGCAACCAACTGCAGTACACTGTAAAGCAGTTGCAACATTTCACCCTAGAGTTGGTTGCATTTCACTGATAGTTTAATTGACCCAAGTGCAGTTAGCTTCTTAAACACTTCAAAGCCCTTTCAGATAAAAGCAGCTATATTTAACTACAGTGCTCACATTCATTACAGTAATTTGAGCAATGCCACAATACCTCAAATATGTTTAAAATCCACCCCTTCAGATGATAACAGGGCCCACATGGGTTCACCCATGATCTGTGTCCCCGTTGCCTGATTTTCATTATTTATCACGCTTCATATCCCTTTCTAAGCAGCAGGTATTGAAAGTTCTTTGTCTGAACAGACCTTGACCTGATCCCTTTTGCACATATTTTCATGTAATAAAATACATGGGGCAATTGTTGAGCAAACTAAGTGGCAAAATCTGCTTACCACAACTTTGTTGAAGTCCTGGATGGCCAAGTAGAGGGCAACAGCAGTGAGCACATCAGTTATCTAAAGAAAAAAAGGTAGGACAGGCAGGTGGATGAAATAATGAAAAAGTGGTAAAGGCAACCACCATTGAAAACTGGGACTTTGATTCAGTGCCTTGCATTATCAGTAACCGTAGCAGTAGGTCACAGCTGGAAATCTTTAAAGGCCAAGTGTGTCCTAAACCATGGTCAACTAATTAACCCTGGTTCTTTATACCCCTGTGGGTGTATCAGAGATATTAATAATTTTAAGAACCCCAAAAGTCGGGATTGGAAGAGAAGAGAATGTATTGTATGTTAGGTCTTTCCTCATGCTGCCCACCACTGAAAGTGTAAAAGAACTACAGATTTAGCTGAGCAGAGAGGTAGTTTGTTGGACAATGCCTGTACAACTAAAAACACTTAACACAATGAAAAACATCAGACTTATGTCTAGGGATCACAGCAAATTATTCAAAACAGTTACCATAAGTGGGCTACAAGTGATTTTAGCACTAGTGAGAGGTGCAAGAAAGCAGCGCTGAAGGCAGAGACCGCTTTGAGTCAAACAGCAGATGCATTACATGGCTGACTTTTGCACCTGTGTGTTAAGCACAGACAAAATCACTGACTGTAGATGTGGATATTTTTAATTCTAACATGTTCATACAAGTTTTGATCCTCCTTCCACTGAACTCCCTAATGTATGTATATTCCTCTTTCACAAGAAGGACAATCTAAAATGTACTATTTCTAAATTTTTCTCCAGCAGCAATTTCCATTAGAAACAGAACCAAAGGTCATGTCCCTTTTCTTTCTTTAGAACACAATACATTCCCTATCTTCTCAGGTCACTTAGGCTGCTGACAGACGTGGAAAAAACAAAAACCCACCCAACCAACCAACCCCCTAACTTTACTGGAAGAGTAAACGCAATAGTTCAATCTGGGCCACTAGCCTCCATATAGATTGGGTGCTTCAGTGGAGCTTTTTGGTGCTTTTATCTAAAGTTGATTCAATCAGCTATTATATAAAAGTGCCAAAAAGCCCCATGGAAGTACCTGATCTATACAAGCACTGGGCAAGCTGGGTCAAACTAACAGGATGCCTCTTCAGGGCATGCGCTGAGCTCAGTGCAGGAGCATGCCAAGTTTAAAATAAAGCACTGTTTTGTTTATTTTTCATGTCTGTAAGCAACCTTAAAGATTTGCAGCAAGTCCCTTATCTACTTACTAGGTGACACTTGGCCAACCAAGAGGGTCTAGAAGACTTAGGGCAGGGGCAGGCAGAACATGGCTCAAGGGCTGGATTCAGACACCAGGCAATTTCATCTGGCCAGCAGGTGCCCACCAATTAACCGTACCCCACCCAGCCCAGATGCCTCGCTCCCACCCTTGTACCCAGAAGGGCCAGACCCAGCCAGCACCCAGCTTCTGGGTGGGGCTGCTGCTGCTGCCGCCACTGCTGCAGCCACCAGAGGGCCTGCTCAGCTTCCCTTGTGTCCAGTGGCTCTTCCCCATCGCCCTGCTGCAGCGTTTGCTCTGGGCAGCATGTAGGGAAGCAGCGGGGGAGCTGAAGCTGGGCAGGCGTGGGGAGCATGGGCTGGGGCTGACAGGAGCAAGGAGCCCGTGCAGCTCCCTGCACTGCACCAGGAAGTAGCAGGCAGGCAAGTGCCGGGAGCTGCATGTGTGCCGTAGGGAGCTCTGCATGATAAAGCTAAGCCAGGCTGCACTCCTTGCTGCCACGTGCAGCTCTGGCTGAAGCTGTGCACTGCTGGACAACAGTACCTGCAAGAGCCATGAGCACCACAAGGGCCTGCTACCCACTGGTACTGCTGGTGGCAGGGGCTATACACCATGGGGTGGGGAGAGTGTGCGAGTGGGGGTCCCCACAGCTCCCACCCTCCTTCACACCCCACCAACCACACACACCC